ACGGGTTGGCCGTGGTCAACGTCAAGGACAACCCGCCCATGAAGGACATGTTCAAGCTGCTGATGTTCCCCGAGAGCCGCATCTTCCAGGCCGAGAACGCCAAGATCAAGAAAGAGTGGCTGGAGGTGCTGGAGGAGACCAAGCGCAACCGGGTCCTCAGCGAGAAGCGACGCCTGGAGCAGGAGGCCCTGCCCCGGCCTGCCCCAGCGCCCCCTGAGTCCACCAACCCCTTCGAGGAGGAGGAGGAGGAGGAGGAGGAAGAGCCTTCTGCCGAGGAGGAGGTTGTAGACCTCTCGCTCGAGTGGATCCAAGAGCTGCCTGAAGACTTGGATGTCTGCATTGCTCAGCGGGACTTCGAGGGAGCGGTGGACCTCTTGGATAAACTCAACGAGTACCTGGGGGACAAGCCAGTGAGCCAGCCCGTGAAGGAGCTGCGGGCCAAGGTGGACGAGCGTGTCCGTCAGCTCACAGACGTGCTGGTGTTTGAGCTGTCTCCGGACCGGTCGCTGCGGGGAGGGCCGCGGGCCACACGCCGAGCTGTATCCCAGCTCATCCGCTTGGGCCAGTCCACCAAGGCCTGTGAGCTCTTCCTGAAGAACCGAGCGGCCGCGGTGCAGACAGCCATCCGACAGCTGCGCATCGAGGGCGCCACGCTGCTCTACATCCACAAGCTCTGCCACGTCTTCTTCACCAGCCTTCTGGAGACGGCAAGAGAGTTCGAGACGGACTTCGCTGGCAACAACGGCTGCTACTCGGCCTTTGTTGTCTGGGCCCGCTCGTCCATGAGGATGTTTGTAGATGCCTTCAGTAAGCAAGTGTTTGATAGCAAAGAGAGTTTGTCAACTGCAGCAGAGTGTGTCAAGGTAAGAGGGTCCAAAGAGGATGGTGTGACACAATAGCCAAAACAAAGGCTGCAAAGCTTTTCTTCTAACCCTGGTTTGGTTGATTCTTGTGTGGGACTCCGAAGAGGTTTCCTCCATTGAAAGGTTCATATTTATTTGAGGTTGGTTTGGGTTTTTTCAGTTTAAGAGGAAAGTGTTAAGACTAAAATACACAGCAAGAAAAAGAACCACCTTTATCAGAAATGTATAATGTGTTTATTCTTAATTTTACCTTTAACCAGTAGCCCATCCTGAAATTTACACAAACTACAGCTGAATTATAAGTACTTGAAGACTTTCTCTTTGTTTTTCAAAGGTGCCCTGGACTACATGTCCTTATTTTCTTGCAAGACTCACTTTCTCAGGTTATGTTTTTTTCAGCTGCTAGTTGGGAAAAAAGCAGTGTATGTGTGAGTAGGTTATAATACAATTGTCCAGAGTATTTTTGACAGCCAGGGTTTATCTTTCAGTTATTAATTTCTCATTAATAAGCAGGTTCTTACAGCATGAGAAGTAAGTGAAGTATGGTTAACAGTCCTCAGTTTTCTGACAATGATTGATTTGGTAAGTGTGTAAGATGTAAAGGGGGCCTGCACACTAACAACATCTTTTGTTTTTTTCTTAATACTTAAGGTGGCTAAAGAGCACTGCAAGCAACTTAGTGAGATTGGACTGGATCTCACCTTTATCATTCATGCCCTTCTGGTAAAAGATATCAAAGGTGCCTTACAGAGCTACAAGGATATCATCATCGAGGCCACCAAGCACCGCAACTCAGAGGAGATGTGGAGAAGAATGAACCTAATGACTCCAGAGGCTCTGGGGAAGCTCAGGGAGGAGATGAGGAGCTGTGGGGTGGGCAATTTTGACCAATACACGGGTGATGACTGCTGGGTCAACCTTAGTTATACTGTAGTAGCTTTCACTAAGCAGACTATGGCCTTCTTGGAGGAAGCGTTAAAGCTTTACTTTCCAGAGTTGCATATGGTTCTTTTGGAGAGTCTGGTGGAAATCATCCTGGTGGCTGTCCAGCATGTCGATTACAGTTTACGGTGTGAACAGGACCCTGAGAAAAAAGCATTCATTAGGCAGAACGCCTCTTTCCTGTATGAAACTGTCCTTCCTGTTGTGGAAAAAAGATTTGAGGAAGGAGTTGGAAAGCCAGCCAAGCAGCTACAGGATCTGAGAAATGCTTCAAGATTGATGCGTGTAAATCCGGAAAGTACCACCTCTGTGGTGTGAAATGACCTGACTGTTCCTGTGAACAGAGTGTGGAAGCACTTACTGAAAATGTTGTATGTTGTATATTAACTGAATGGGGTTTTTGTTTTGAGTCCCTGAAAAATGCAGAGCTATTAAGTGCTGCATTCCAGAAGCTGAAGTTAGCATCAATGCTGCAAGCATGCAATGCTTCATTTGGTGGATGGCGGGTAGGGAAGTTACAAGGTCGAGGTCACATGTCCTTGGACAGCATATCCTGTAAGAAGGGCTTGGGTAGTGTTTGTGACTTGGGAAATAACTGTAATACAGAAGTTTTGGCCAATTGTTATGAAGGTCTTAAATATCTGTACAGCATGTGGCAGGAAAAGATCAATTCTCATCATGTCACTGTAGGAATTCTTTCTTCAGGCAGTGTTCTGGTAGGAGGGGAAGTGCTGAAGCACTCCCAGGGTGTGGTATTCAGTGAGGCACGTCCACATCCAGATGTGACTCAGCACTGCAGATAAACCACATGGATTTGCACAGTGTGATTTGTGTGGTAGCAGTGCAGCCTCTTCAGTTTCTGTAACATTCAAATTCTCTTCATTCATTTCAGAGGCAGATGTAAATTAAAAATGGTTTTAGTATAGGTTTTGGTGTTTGGGTGAAGGGGCTGCTTCTCTTTAATAAGCTGGTCTGTCAGCTTAAATTACAGCTCTCTGAAAACAGCTTCTGCTGTCAGAACCATTGGTTCCCTTCAAGAGAAGTGAGAATAAATTGCTTCCCTTCCCCTTTGTGTCCCTCTTCCGTGTTTTCTCATGGATTTCACTGGGGTCATGCCCATTTGATGAAGTGTGCAGTCTTGCTTGAGGTGCTGTCATAAATGCATTAGGGGCCATTATCTGCTGGTAGAAATCATAGTGAAGAGGCATCAATGCTCTTGAGACATGCAGGGCTGGGAGAGGGTCTGAAGGTACTGTTTTGTTTGGAGGGAACAGAATGCTAGTTTTGCTGTACAGAAGCAGCTCCTGGTAAAGAGACCATATGAGGCTTTTTGTAAATAATGTGAACTCCCAAATACACAGTCTCCTGCAAATATTGGTATTGTTTCCTGTATAACAGCAATAAGCAAGAAGAACTCTTTGTGGAATTCACAAAGATTTGGTTGAGAACTTTGATATTGTGGGGGAAGTTTATACAAATGCTTGTGTGTTTGGGTTGAATGGTGATGGCTGTCTCGCTCAGTATATGTCTCTGAAAATAAAATAAACCAAGTCTTGTGTCAAGGCTGGCATTAGAAGACTCAGTATCAACTTCTAAGCTGTGTAAACTTCTTCCCCTTTGGTGCAAACTCTCTTGGTTGTGAGAAGGCCATGTTACAGCTAAGTGGCCTTGTATCAGCCCCTCAGTAAGTGTTCTTAACTGGAGTAACTGAGTATCCTATTCACCTTGCGCTTTCAAATTAAAGCTTTTGCAATTATTATCATGGTAATGCATGCCCTGTGACTGCCCGAACAAGCAAAAGATATCACTAGTAAAACATTCTGCATAACTGCTTATACTGGAGCTTCTTCATTTCTCCCTGTTTTCACAGTACTAGTTCAATGCAGTTTTCACTTCAGTGGCTAGTTTTTGTTCTCTTGCTCTGTGGGTGCCTTTTGAACTGTCAGATTTTGCAAAGCATACTACTGTCTCTGCTCACTTGCTTTTCACTGGGCCTTTTGCTAGCAAGTCACAAAAAAAAAAGTCACACAAAATATTTTTAAAGGGTGACAATTTCAGCTAGAAGCAATGAGTTGATTGAAAACCACTGAAAAAGCTCTAGTTTTATTTTAAAGGACAGGGACAGTGAGGATTAGAACTTGTGTGAACATGTTATGTCCAAGAGAGATCCCCACAGCCATTATTTCACTAGTGAACTGTTTTTGATACCAGAACCTAGTAAAGTAATCTAATCTCTGTCATCTGTTTAAAGAAGTCAAAGGCAGCAACCTGGTTTTACATAATCTGAGAAGTACTTTCAAGTAGATTCTAAGTGAGATCTCTCTGTGTTGATGGGTATTTTGGAGGAGAGGGAGAAGGGATGGCTTTTTTTCTCTGAACACAGCTATATTTCATTATTATCTTTACAGCAGAAGAAAGCAGAATAAATACATGTCAGCTTTCTGGTTTTGTGTGGTTGTGCAAGAGAAAGGCAAGATCTGAAAGTCAAGGCTGATTATTGTGGTGCTTGAGGATTTTATGTAAGAAGCTGAATTGGATTCAGCTGATTCCTAGTGTTGGCACCAGACTGAATAGGAGGAGAGCTTCTAGTGCAAGCTGGTGTAGCACATCTTACCCTCATCAGAGGATGAAATGTAGAATGTAATTCTGCCATGTGCTTTTATGCTTCTGTCACTGAGCCCTTCATCAATTTATTTCTGGCACACAGAGCCTACTGATTTTGTCTCTGCTGTCATCCACGGGGCAGTGGGCTTTACGTTGATGTTGGTTTTAACGGATCAGGGAATTTGGCCTTTCGTTTGGGTCATCAGATACCATGTTCATGCACTTGTCACAATTCAAGGACATGCCTGGATTTGTATAAACTGCTGTAGGTAGCATTGATATTTTGTAACTTGTGAAATCTATTCAAGTCATAATAAAAGCAAATAGCATAAAGAAAATTGTGTGCAATTAAGTTAAACCTGCTTTGTACGTTAATTCAGTTAACAGAAAGATCAATGTATGCTGAGAGTCCTTACTAAATAACTTCAGGTTTGGAATGGCACTTTTCTTGTAGGGATAGTGTTGTTCAAGTTGGGATTTGCAGTAACTACTGAAAAATACGATAGCAGTTTTGCTGATTTGAGAAAGGATTAGGGTTTTTTTCTTTATTTTGAGACAACTGCATAGAAAATCTGGTTTCCTTTAGCTGCTGTGACAAAATTGTGATATGTAAAATGATTCTTTTTTCATTCAATTGAATTTATGTATTAGAAGTTAATGCAATAACTTTTCTGAACAGTGAAGACCATGTATTAAAACTTTTGGACATACTACACTAGTGGTGGATTTCTGTTTTTATTACCTCATCATCAGAAAGGGGATGATGGTTCAAAGTTTGAGTTCACTAATAAATTTCCAGTGAACTCGAAGAGCTTCATGTCAGTCCTTTGTGAAGGAGATATAAGTGGCAGCCAGGTGATGAAAGCAAAGTGGTGCCCCTTCAGTTATGTTCTTACGAAGTCACTTCAGTGAGGTGAAGTTGGAAGAAAATGTTCCTCGACATTATATCTCATTCGAATTGAGTAGATACTGTAGTCTAATGGGACTTTGGGTTGTGTTTGTGAGGTATTATCAACACCAAGGCTGTGTAACACTATAGGTTTGGTGTCTTCCAGGCATTATTTTGTGGCTGGAGTTTGATTTGAATGCTGAATGTGCAGTGCAGCCCATCTCCTCGCTAGGTGGAGTTCTGCGTATTGAAACCTCAGCACGCTGTGGGCAGGCACAGGCATTGAAGTTGTGCAGCCCCGCAGCATAGCACGTTTTGGTAGCATGCTGCAAGATGAAGATGCTGCAGGGAATTATTCAGATGTTAGGGTCAACTCTTTTTCCTTCCTTGGTACTGCTTTTTTTCTGCATTTTCTAATTCTTGTGCTGTTCATTTTTTAATTCTTCATGTTTTCTTTTCCTGCTGTGTTCCTGTACCATCAGCAGGCACCCTGTAGAGCATCTCACTTTTCTACCTTTCCTAAATGTATGTACCAACATGTGACTTGTTCTGCCTGAGAAACACTGCTAGACCTCAAGCCCCTGCTGAGATGTGGAAAGTCTCTTGTCCAGCTTCAGTTGTCTTGTGTACGATGTTCAACTTAATGACTTCCCAAAGTCAAGTTGTGTGATCTCTTGCCATTTTACTTCGATATTGGACCGCAATTCCTATGAGACCCCATAACGCAGCTTTGCACTCCAGCACAGTAACATGGAAGATCCCTACCACCAATCTTTATAACTTATACACTCTTTTATCCCCTTTGCTATACAACTGTTAGGATTTAATTGGGTTACCTTTTACTTTAAAATGTTCGTAGTTCTGCAGACTCTTCAGCCTATTTTCTCTGAAGAAAATCAAATTCAGAAGGGGGCTTATCTGTCAAGGAGCATCTGAGCATGGCCTGTAGCCACATCATTTTCCTCACAGGTTCAAAAGTTGTGATATGTGCTCAATCCCTACAAAATATGAAAGGCAGTGGAGAGAGAAACACTGTGAACTGTGGGGAAAACAGATTTATGCCCTTTATCATTTCAAGGGATACTGACTGGAGTAATAGATCAGAACAGAAAGGTAGTGAAGAGAGAAACACTGCAAAATGTGGGGAATATAGATTTACACCCTTTTATCATTTCAAGGGATGCTGACTAGGGTAATAGATCAGAATTTGATTGAGCCACCTTGGACACAGGGTTGTTATCTCTTGTGTATTTAGGAAACTTTGTTAATACAACTTCAGCAGCCTTGACGTGCCCCGTAACACAGTTCTCAACTTCAGGGTTACAAGCTGAACCAGATTCTCTGCTACAGATGTGCTGTTTGGCACAGCAGAGAGAAAGCACTAGCAAGAGGCCTGGTCTGTGCTGACCACTGAGCAGTATTAACCTTCCCAGTGGTTTACATGACTGATCAGGGCAGTTTTAAGGCAATTTTAGATCACCTTTCTGTGGCCCTGTGGTATTTATTCTCTCTACCTCCGCATGCAGTAGCTGCATTCCTTTCCATGGCCTGCGCATCCCACTTCCCACCCAAGCAGAAGTTGATATGGGAGGATGGAGAGAACCTGCTCCCCAGGAGACTCGAAGTGAGCTGCGATGGCGCAGGGAGACCAGCTGGGGTCCCACAAGGGCTTTGCATGCTGAGCATCACCTCGGCGCGGGGAAAACCGCAACCCTGGCACCCGCAAACGATCGCATCCAATTTCTTCTTATAGACCAGTACAAGAGCTAAAAGCAGGTATGAAAGCTGAGAGATTAATCTCTTCATGTCATGACAGGAGCTGGATTCTGAGGCATCGGTTTAGATTACTCAAAATATAATTTGGCCCTGCAGCTGTTGGGAATCTTGTTCAGATGTGCTAATATGTTGGCATGTGATTACTGCATGTATTATGCTAGGAAGGTGGACCAGGGAGAAGAGCAGGGAGTGTTATCTTCTCTGCTGCTTGGGAAATCCTTGGAGATGCCTGGATTAATGATGTTTCAAGTTATTTAAAAAACCAAAAAAGCGTACAGCTCTTCAGCTAATTGCATCAACACACACACAGTTCTTTATCTGCCCTCCCAGAAAGCTGATCCAGACAAAATCAAAATTCTCTTGAAGGTGAGAGAGAGTCAAATCCTTTGTGATACGA